CGTAGAGAGATAAGGACCTTGCATCTCGCACCACAACATCCTGGCGCAAAACTCATCCATATGCCTGAATGGCTAGCAACTGAGCTAAAGGTCAAGCACCATTGTGGCAGAGTCCTTCTTTGTTCTGCCATTTGCGGTGGAAGGGCTATCCTTACACGATCCTGGCTTCCTCTTCGTAGATTCCCACATCTACCCAGAGCGAGTTTCTGGGTGAATTTGACACCGCTGAGTACAGTACAGAATTCTCTGTATTTTTCTTTCCATCAATAAAATGGATGTAGATTTTTTGGAAGCTCAGATTGACTTGTTTTGAGCGAAATCGAGGCCGGAGCCAGGTGTCACGTGATAAAATGGCAGCGGATGTTTTGGAAACCACGTTGCACCAATTTGGGTCAGCAACCAACAAGAATCTCGAGAGATACATTTCACTTAGGACGGCGCGAGTAGGATCGTGATTTGATTGATACCGGAGAGACGGCGCAATTTGAGTGCACCTCCATGAGACCTTCCAGACCTAGAATGAGTGATATGATCAAGTAGGAAGGCATTGTAATGTGCTTAAAATTGAAAGGCCGCATGGAACCTTGCTAGCTGAAATAAACCCACCGTCGGTGGCACTTAGTAAATGGCTTTGCGATGACAGTCGGGTCAGAGTTGCAGAGCTTGTAGGTTGCACTGCATGGCTTCCCAGATGTGGGCTTCATGCCACCCACATTTGGGTACAATTGCTCCACTTGCAGGCCATGAAGAACCAGCGGGTGCACTCTGGTATGGTCCGCTTGGCGGACGAGTCTATAGAGCCCATTGATGTGGGTATATTCATCGAGGTTCTCATTTAATGAAGTGATTCCCTTTGTTGAACCTCTCCTCAAGTTTCAAGTATCGTCTTGTTTCGATCGCGTTCTTTTGTTCAAGCATGGGGACGGCATGCGCTAGCGTAGATATCCATGTCATCACAAAAGCCGAGTGGATGACACGCTAGAATGCACATTCGCTGTCTATTGCAGACGGTCCGTGGACATCGATAGAAATCGGCCGCGCAGCAGGTAACCAGTGTTTGCGAGCGCCAGGTGAGCCACTTGTCGGGAGCAAAGATGTCAAATGGTGTCGGCGCTGCCACTCCCATTGGGTAGAAAGACAGCGTGATGTCTCCGAAGATGTCGAGCTTGGGACTGGCGACAAGTCATCCTTGGAGACTCGTCTTTAGCCCGCTAAAGCGAAGAATGATTGGCGGCGAACGCGCCCCTCGGGCAGTGCTTGACAAGGGGAGGCCGTTATCGATCCAACGCGACTGCAAAGGCGGTGAGGCGTCCAAGACGCGTGGCAGTGTTTGCGCCATGTCCCGCGGAGTGGTCCGCACGGCATTTCAAAATACGTCAGTTAACATCGGGTCCGAGAAGATCCCACTCACAATTCTTCATGTTCGACCTTGCGCAATCCGTGACTCGCTCTAGTGACGCCCGGTAGACAACACAGACCACGATTTGGCGTGGCTCTGCCGGTCTCCAACTTTCGACCCGACCAATACTCGCTCTAGTCAACTCTTTCAAGATCGCTTCGGATCTCTCTCTCCTGCTTGGTATCACAGCTGTAGCCGACTGAAATCGCCGTGTAGCATACCCCGAGCAGACATATCCAATTTTCACTCAACTCCTGGCCGACTTCCGCGAACCACTCCCACGAGCCCAATTCCACGAGTCAACACCCAGAAGCCAACACCCACAAGACCGACTCCCACAAGACCGACTCCCACAAGACCGACTCCCACAAGACCGACCAAGTCCAGCCATGGCACTGACTTGAGCCAGACAACCGTGGCGATCAAGCCCTTCGTGAGCATGTTGCTCAGCATACCCTTTCGTTTGGGAAAATGACAACGTGTACTCCGAAAGGAATCGCATATCCGGAATATGGCAGTCAAACGCCTGCGGCATTGTTGACGTGCTTCGGGTACTGCACGGAGACAACTTCTATTGGGCACACATTAGCAAAACGATCAGAAAAGGGACCGTAGACTCACATTCATCCGATGGCCGATCAGTGTTTTGACGGACGATTGGGGACGGGTGACGGCTGCAAAATCCAAATTGCATAAACTCATTTTGGGACCGCTGAATCATAAAGATGACCCTTTGCAAAAGTCTGGCAAATATTCCAGTGTTCAATAATTGGGCTTGAAAGCAGACGATGGGGATCATGATTTCCATCTCAGCGACCGCAGAAAGCGACAACCCTTGTGGCAGATCTGAATGCTCATGGCCATCTTCTTGGACTGATTCATTGCGATTGACGTCTGTCCCGAACAGCGAGAGATACCTACCCATTGGATGGACCTTCGGCATTCTTCTGACTTACACGCTTTCTAGATGAGGAAGCCAGCCTCCCGTGAAAGGGTTCCTCGATAGTCAAACCTATCGCTTTATATATCTACCATGCGTCGTGTATTCTCGGTCTATATATTAGTCGCATGGCTGCCTGAGCTTCACAAGGGTGTGGAGTAGGAGCTGGTGTTTTCGGTCTGTATTTGTAGGTGAGGCGAAAGAATGAAGGGATCGGGCAATCTCTATTTACGGCGACTTTCACACTTCGACGCGGCTTTTAAAGCGAGATACATCGCTTACTAGAAAAAGTAACGACGGTGTAAGACGCGTGCGAGGCTCGTTTAGCTACACGTTATGTCTCGTAGCGGCTTAGCTAGTGACCCTGTAAGGCAGTCAGCATGTGTCTAATAATGAGGGTTCACTCACGGTCTTTTATCCAATCTCACCCTGCACCTACGATAGACGACACTGCCAAGATAGCGAAAGAGTCGTCTTATGGAGATAAGTCTTATCTCCAAACCGATCTAACATATCTTCCGTCTTGTAGCTCCATGAGGCCGGTCTGCTCCATGTGCCCTCTAGCCAAGATCATGGCTGATGATTAACTAGTGGTGATAAGGTAGAAGCATATAGTAGGCGTACTTATTTTAAGAGAGGTCCAGCCGCACGAGACCTGTGGCCGCGATGGCGTGCATAAGTAGCCATACTTAAGACATTATCAGAATATCGAATCATTTAGGATTACGGCGATATATGCATTAGACGGGCTCGAGAATGGCGATGTTTAATACTTGGAGATCTGGCTGATGGTCTCACTGGAGACACTACTTGATAAGCATATGTCAGGAGTAGAACCAAAGTCCGGGCCCATAACTCATATAAAAGCGTCGGGTCTCATGGTGATTTTGTTATCGGTGTGACTGATAGGTAGTTATATAACCTTGAGGTGTTGACTTGGGGCTATCGTATGTGAGGAGACCTAGCTGGTCGTAACATTAGGTGTTTTAGCACTGGCCGACGGGTATGGGGCTGATAAGAGACTTACCTACAGGATGCCTTACTTTCACTCTTTATGGTCGAGAAGCTAGTCAGAAGTCACGTTATTAGCTCAACTCGACAAGGTACATGGATATAGCACTCACCAAAGGACTGTCGCCAAGCTCTGGCCCACAGGCACGAAGACGGGCATAGTGGAGTGAACCACCGATGGGTAGAGAGAGGCAGGTGACTTGGTGGCTTAAGTGGCCACCGTGGGTATTAATGACAGCAGGAGTCTGGGTCAAAGAGAAGGGACTCATCAGTCCGCTGCAGGAAGGCATCTTGGTTTTAGCTCGAGAGAATCCGTAAGATACAGTAAGGAAGATAATTATTTCGATAGAGAACCAGGGAAGGATGCCATATTTATAGGTCTATTAACTGGTCTTGTTACCGTCCGCTTTATATTACCGCGGTGAAGTTTTTCCTGTCTATCAATTTCTGGAGGGCATTGTTTTCGGGTGCATCGAAGTTACCTATGCAAAGTCAGGCCTGTTGAACCGCGACTTACTTAAGGTGACTGGCTATGCAAAAGTCAACAGGCAGATGAAAAGTGAATGGTCATGGTCAGGGTGAAACATGCCTTCAAGTCAATCTCTGGAATTTTTAAATAATAATAAATTATTAATTTGTTTGGTTTTTTTTTTTTTTTTTTTTTTCCGTGTTTCATTCAATTATTATTTTGTCTGAAGAGCGTTGATCAACGTTCAATCTTGTCTCAACGACCGTACTTTCAACAGTTGAAAACGATGGGCAGCCATTAACGATCGACTGCGACAGCATGCACCTTTATCACCATCATCTGGACTTCAGTATTGGCTGTTGATTCAAAACAGAGGCCGGCGATCATGCTGTTTTCTGAGTAAGTCGCCTCACTTGTTGATGACGGATTTTCAGGGTCCAAGCCATCGCACACTCAAAATTATTTCCACTGAGTGTACTGTAGCCATGCCACATTGACTATAGTACTACCGCTCTTACTTTGACCTGTCTTGGACAACACACATCAATGATTGACACCATAAGCCGGACTTCGGCCAATGCTAGCCGTCGGATCCAGAGAGCCTTTCATGTTACAATTCCAGGTCGTGTCAAGCGACAACCGGTCCTGGGATCTCAATCAGTGATCCCGCGAATGACTGAGCCGGAACTGGGAATGCATTCACTGGCCCTGGGAGCTAGCCTGATCCTGGGGCTCTTAAGCCAAATCCTAGAGCTGTTGTACTTGACCCCGGGGCCAGCACTGTTCTTCGCTGGAGAGATCGCGAGCTGTGAGGACTTTCGAACCCAATGAGTGCACTATTAGCGATTAATTTCTCACTCCGTGGCGGGATGTGAGGCTCCTGAAATATGTAACTACGTTCCCAGAGCCTTGGTTGCGTGTGGGCATGGAACTCTAGCTGGTGGTCAAGCGCCCACTCATTTGTCTTGGTGATATTTAAAGCTCCTCATATCTCCAAATTTCCAACTTCATGTAATGCTAAGTTGGTTAAAAAATAGTCGCATCGACTTCACTCGTCGTCTTGAAGCGAAGCAATACATTCTCCTAGAACATTTCCATGTATGTTCACGTGGGGAAATTTGAGACCAAAGGTATGAAAGGTCGATGCCTCAATGGTGTTACAAAGCTAAAGATACCCACAGATGTCCATTATCCAATTCCCAACAGAGATCCTTTGGATCATAGCCAGTTCCTTAATGGGCGGCGAAATCTGTGCTTTTGCTCAGGCCCACCGAAACATCTATCCTAAGCTGCGTCTGGCGTTGATCAAACACAATGTCAAGCATCAGAACAGCTCGGCACTTCATTGGGCCGCTAAAACCAACAATCGCAGATTTGCAAAGACCTTGCTTTCTTACCGAGCCAATATCAATGCGCTGGTCGATGGTCTTTCTCCTCTCATGACGGCCGCAAATTACGGCTCAGAGCAGGTAATCAAACTTTTGCTGCAGAAGAAAAGGCTACGCGTGAACATGAGAAATACCCAGGGAGAAAGTGCGCTGTGGCTCAGTGTGGCGAGTAAGTCATCATCTGCTGTTGTGTGCCAGCTCCTGCAACACCCTCGTCTCAGAATCGACCTGCCAAATTGCGAGGGCCAAACCGTGCTCTGGCTTGCGGTCTTTCAAGGCAACAAAGACTTGGTGTGCCAGCTACTCTTAAGCGGTGCCAACCCTGATGCGAAAGATCAGCTTGGAATATCGCCATGGATTCAAGCATGCATCAGCAACAGGAGCCAGATCGTAGATCTGTTGCTTGATCACTGGAAGGCGACCTCTCCTGAATTCGTGTCACCTGCTAAAACGCTCGCCAGGAGTGAGGAGACGGTAACATCAGCCGCTAGCCGCGGAGATACGTCCATGTTACAAATGCTGCGCCTCCAGGGAGAAGCTCTTGATACAGCGGATCAACAGGGGCGGACACCACTCCACACAGCGGCCAAGGGCGGTCATATTCAAGCGGTAGATTATCTGCTCCGTCACGCGAAGACTCTCCTGAACCGTCAAGACCGTCACGGCAGGACTGCGCTTTGGTGGTCTACCTATTCATTCCAAGATCGTGTCACGCAGAGACTTTTACAAGAGAAGGACGTGGAGATCAATACGTTCGGAACGTGTGGGAAATACGATACTCCCTCTACTTCGCTCCACCATTTAGCCAGAAGAAAAGATACAACCGTCCTTGCATGGTTTTTGAGTAAGCCGAGTCTGAACCCTAATTTACGCGGGGACTCCCAATCTCCTCTTTGTCTGGCTATACAACAAGGAAACACCGCAGTGGTGAGATTACTCCTCACCCACACAAAGACAAAAATCAATGCCATGGACATATACAGTGACTCGCCGCTTCTTCTCGCAATCCAGGAGGGCCATCGCGATATGGTCCAACTGCTGGTCTGGCACGGGGGTCGGCTGCAGATCAACCAGTTGAACTGTCCCGATGAGGAGACGGCGCTTTGTGTGGCCATTCGTCACGGGAGACTGGACATGCTAGAAACGTTGCTTGGGCATCCTCGAATCAATATTGACGTGATCAATCGTTGGGGTGAGACAGCCCTGCTATTAGCCGTCAAGCGGGAAGACCCCGCAATGGTGAGCAGATTGCTCCAGGGCCCGAACTTACCTTGTATTTTGGCATTGCCAGCGGAGGTTGCTCAATCCCGCAAAAATCGGGGTATGGCTCGTCTCATCCAAGAGGCAATGAAGCAAAAGGGCCACTGCGACTACTCGTCAAGGCAGACACAACGTCAGATATGAGCAAGTCGTGTGAGATACAACTTGATCTGACAACCTCCTTGTTCTAGAAAATTACATCTACTATGCTTCCTAGATGAGGAGACCGAGATTTCTGATTGGACGAGAATATTTCTAGGTGTTCGGCTTCAACAGGCAATCTTCAATTGCTTACAAGCTTTGTATACCATTTTTCAGTAAGGCAAAACAAACCTTCAAATCTGTACCAATATCGCAAGCCTTGGTTGCGTAATTGTCGTCGAATTGGTACTGTAGTAGGTAGAATCGCCCCGATACACATTCGCCGCGCAGTTGATTGTCGGACACGGAGCTAGGCGGACTCCATACTCTTTGTTGGATGGGTCATTGGTTTTTAAAGACCGCATATTCAAAGAATGACAGATTGTGCTGCTTTCGTTCTCAAAGCAAGCACTGTACTCTATTTGCGTGACCTGGAGGCTCCTCCACCGGTATCCAGATAGGAATACCTGCCACCCCTTCGACATATAGAGTAAAGCTGCAAGGTTGTATAATACGATTTTTCCATGCTGCTGGTTAGCCGAGCAAGCTTGGAAGGCACATTAGAGCAGAAAAGTCAATGCCAGGAGGTCTTATTCCAAGGCCGCGAATCTCAGCGATATAGCCTCAGACACTTGGCAAACAATACTTTTGAATGGTCCTTATCGCTCGATGAGGAAGCAGAACGTGGAAGATATCACATCACGGAAGTTGATTACTTCTTGATTGGCTTTCGCACGGTTGTGGCCAAGGTGGATTATCTCGTCTGGACAGGCATTCAGTTCACTAAAATCGCGTGATCGATTTCATCAAATGGCTGTGTCATTATGTGGTTCTGGAGGGCCAGAAAAAAACAAAAAAGGAGCACAGGCTCATGGAGCTTGCTACAAGAGCACAGAAGGAGCAGAGAATACAACATGAACTGTGTGAGTACTGAGCAGAGAAGAAGAAAGTAAGAGAAGAAGAAGGAGAAAGCGTTGATCCACAATGACCTGATGGTCACCTGATCTCCTGGTTCTGTCAGTATCTTTCGAAGAGTAGGATCAAGAGCTTTCGGAGCCTACTCGTAGAATGGGCTTCAGTTTCCCCATTATTCATAGTAATAACACCGTTTTAAGGTTGAGATTTACATAGTAAAGCGCGATTGAAACTGGTAATAGTAATGTCAGACCAATGCTGATGGGGATATCTATAATAAGGTTTCTAGCCACCTAGATAATGGCGCAGAGGTCAAGCAATATCCGGTAGCCATGAATCCGTGAAAGTAAGTTGATGCTTGAATGTTTGAGATCGTGTGGCTGATTTTGTCGATACAGTAGTCAACGCCCGCCTTGCGATATACAAACAAAGAGTCTCGTGCACCACTAGCGTTGTCACGATCACTTTGCTGAATATGTAAGTATGACGGCAGAATGACACCACATCATTGGCTCTTAAACTTTGACTTTCAAGAACCTGCAGGAAATCCGCCCTGTAGAAAATTTACGAAGCATGCTAATTAGCGAGAAGGGGACGATGCGTGAAGATATGTAGAGCACGAGCCATATGCCAAATGTGGAGTCATTATGTGGATGTCTGAGTCTGGCTCCGGTGTCCGGGCTGCCTCGCTATGGTTCTTAGCAGGATGAGGGATTGGTGCACCGGCTAGTAAAGGAATCTCATAGAATATATATATTTTTTGAAGGTTCATAGATTCTCTTGGGCGTTCTCTGGGACCTACTGTCCGTGCTCTGGCCTGTTACGGCATGGTATCCTGTTCTGGCCCGAATACCGTACAAAAGTCTGCAGAGGATGGGTGAACGATGGACGACCCTGCCTCGAAATGTCACAGCGGTGACTGATGTATCGAGAGCCTGTACAAGGGCGACAGCCTTCCTGGTGATCTTGTCTAAAGCCTACTTTAACACCCACCACTGTCGCCATGGTCATGTTTGAGCCTAGCTATACCCAACAGGGGGTTTTCTGACAGGAACGACACTATAACGACACTATGGATATCTATAGCTACTTGGATGAATGCGTACTCATCTTATTGGCGATTACGTTAAGTAAAGTGCTGAAAATTTGATATATTAGCGAGACATACTACGCCGTATACATCAATCAAACCATGAGCTGGGAAATGCTCCACCTTGATGCACTGATCTATTCCCCTCGCTAGTGGTATTCACTGCTCTATCAGTGGAAAATAAAAACAGTTACGTCGGTGGTTGAAGTTGTCAACAACTTTGATATCAGGAAGACAACTTCCTTCACCAGTTGCAGTCAATCGACCTTGCGAGAAAAATACTTTCATTACTGTTGATACTCACGCTAAACGCATCAATCTACATGGCTCAACCCCATCTTGCATCATCTGACATCAGAGGAAAACCTTGCGTGTGAAGCACAACATAAGAAGTCGAGCCTTCTCGGTGTCGCTGCCCAGTCTCAATCAATCTCAGTCATTTTGACTTCCCAATACCATACCACGTCCCTAACGAATATGCAACTCTTCCGATTGACGGGCGCGCTCATATGCTCCGCAATCTGCTGCCAGAGTCACCAGCAACGCCCGTGCTCAGAAAGAGCGCCATATCTTCCCAGACAGGGATTGCTAAACTCACCTCGCATATACCTGATCGCAAATCTCGCGAGGTCAACGCCTCCTAGCGACAGGAAAGCACATCCACGCAACGTTGGCGCTCCATATGGGAGCAATATCATCGAAGTTCCTGGCGACAAAGCAAACCAGTACAAATATGTGGTTCGCTTCAATGGCCCAGCAGAGGGAGAAGGCTGGAGTGTGGTGATCTGGAATAAGCTTGGACCAGACGGTATTCAGGGCGGTTGGTACGGCAAGGCTTGCAGGAGACTCACTCTTGCCGCCGGCCAGTCGCGATTTATAGCCTTTGATGAGAATTCCCAGGGTGGATGGGCCACTGCGCCTGGAACTGCTATCCCTTTGGATTCCAAAGGTGGTTATGCGTCGACGTGGGGAGAGTTTGACTTCGGTTCATCTGTGAACGACGGCTGGTCCGGATTTGATGTATCTGCAATCCAAGCACAGAACGCTGGCCTGGAGATTCAAGGTATGCAGATATGTGATGTTCTCACCCATATCTGCTCAGCAATTACTCGAGATGCAAGTCATGTTCAGAACGCCTACACATGGGATCTTGCCGATGTCCGTGGAATTGGTGGCAATCTTCCCCCCGGTCCAGTCAGACTTGAGGTAACGCTTGATTATGCCAAATGAGACCTATATTGTATATGCCAGTCCTATAGGGGTATAGAATCAACTCTCGCTTATGGTTCGTCCGATTATGGTAAATTCATAATCACAGTGATACTTCGCTCGATTGGACCTTTATGTATGGCTATTACAAGTGAACTACCCGGGTATTTCAATTGCTGCTTGTGGTAACTACTTTGTTCCTGTCTGGAATTAGTCACCTCAATTGACCACCATCATTGGTCTACCAGCGAATCCTTCAGCTCCCCTCAAGCGTACACAACAGGGTATATCAGATACTCACAAGAAAGCTTACGTACGTATTTGTCTCAGTATCTCCCACCCTACCCAGCGAGAGTATGTGTGTTGGTAGTAGACCACTTCAAGCATCAGACTATCTATGCTTGTGTAAGAGGATCTTTTTGTCCTAACGTATCTACCTGGACATGGGTCGTACGAGGTCTACTATACGTCATATTCTCACTGGTGTATTGTAAATCAGTGGTTCTCTTTTTGGGCAGAGGGAAGATTAGAGTGCTAAAATGCACCAACAAGACCATTCGCACGGTGCCTGAGAAGTCCGCTTCTAAACCAAGGTTGAATTTTGATCCAATGACGGCCTTTTTTCTTTTGTGGGTTGTAAGGGGATTTGATTGGAGACAATATTGGCTAGCAAATGACGACAATGGTAAGCATATCACTGCATCATAAACAGGGGAAATGAAATAGCTGTGTTCTATTTCGGGATTCTGACCCTCTCGAGTTCCTTGGGGATATTGTGAGATCTCGCGTAGTATTTCGTGATATCCGAGAGTACTTATAGAGCATTCCCTTGTTTTCATTCTTATCTCAGCAGTGTGTTTAGCGTTGTGTCACACTACATAAACATATCTACCAATCAACTCGTGCTCTGGTAGCGATGCGTTGTCCTCGAGAGGTAGAGCTGCTGCTTTGAAGCGGGGTAGCTTTTCTCCAAGGAAAGTGTTCATAAGCCCATCCAAGGCCATATTTCGATCATATCCCGAGTTCTCAGCGCAAATTTTCGACATCATTAACATTTCACGATCCCACCTAGATTGAAAATGCCTCGCAAAGGACGCAAAGCTGCGAAATTGTGGTCGCTCCATCCAAAGCTTCATGACGACGTAGCCCGCCTATTAGACGAGGAAGGGCTTCTGATAGACTTCTTTGACACCGACGATGAGGAAACCAACATCGAGGAACGAGACACAAACGTAATGGGTCGATTTATGTGCGAAAACAAGGGATGTTACTCCAGCGGTTGGTCGAGCAAGAAAGTCGCGATTACAATTTGCATGTACTCCCGACAGCGATATAATGCACGAGTGTATCACCAGCGGTGCAAAAATTGCGGAGCAGTTGGTCGGCTAGTCCTAGATACTGAGTGCTATGCGGCAAGAGTGGCATACTGGCTCAAAAAATGGAATGGCATCGAGGTACAGCGGCCCAGTTTTTCTGGCCTGAGCAGAGGACCGCACGACAGTGAACTGTGTGAAGGGTGTAAAGTTGGTCATTGTCCCAACTCGAATGAGGATTTAGCATCGGTGCTAGCGAGGTAAGTATGGTACAAGCGTTGTTATACAGTAACTAATTATTCTAGAATGTCTTTCTGAGCGCTGCGCTACATGGCATCACATTCTTGGTACACAGGCTGTCCTCGATCTGGGAATCCGTGCGCCAACTATCCAGTGCGAGTGTGCACGGCTTCGTGATGGAAACACCAGGGTGGAAACTGCAACATGATTGATCAGCTGGTGTTACAGTACTCCATGATCCCTGGTTCTGTTGTGTATGACACTGAGCAAGGAATCGGGCCAAAGACAATGTTTTCTTTTTTCTTTCGAGTTATCTTTGGATCATTTACAGACAAGTAAAATGCGGCAAGCGCTTTGTTGTCTCTCTCACCAATATTTCAAATTGATGCTTAATCTTTTGACTTGGTCTTTGTTCACAAGTTAAGGAACATAACGCAAGTAGCCCAGACACACTTAACTTCGTCTACTGTCGTCATCTTGTCGTCACGTGCGTGGCCGTCTCGTTATAGTCACTTGAAATCAGAACATTCCAACTGATGTCTGCTTAGATTGTAAGGTGCTCTTTCAGATATTGCCCGTACAGCTTTACGTACTATACACTAATTGAGGATGGCTCGAAGGCTCGCAATCAGCAGCAAGCGAGGTATTGCTTGGAACATACAGACGCGCTCGGATCAGTTTCACCATTTTACCCTCTTAGATTCATTCCCGAACTCAATACTGAAACACGCTAGTCTGTGTTCGGCTTAAGCAATTGCGAAATTTCGAAACGTATTGTAAGCTATAGTCACATGATGAGCTACTGTATAATCCATTGGAAATGATCATACGATTGATACCCAATATCTCGACGCCCTCACAAGTAACCAACCCAAAGCTGACAACATTCCTTTTCGTAGAGGGTGTATAAATACATATTCGCCGAGATTGCGCAATTACCGCCGAAATTTGCAGCAAATAGATCAAAATTATGTACCTTGCGTCTTCGACATTTCAGAGCGAAGATAAATACGCAGATGTGTTTCGTAAGGAGAATGAGATTAAGATGAACGAAATCTGTAGATGTTGCGTTTGTTGCCGGTCAGAGGATCCTCATGAGTGGCTTTATACTGTTCAAACTTCAGCCCCTTTAAAACCAAGCCGACTTCTTGGAGAAGGTCAACTCCATAGGTGGGATATTCTCTAGCCTCCTTGGCAAATTTGTGATTTTCACAGAGAAGGTATCCATCCGCTGTTGCTGCAGCTAGAATGCGACGGATTGCGTGCCCCTGAGGTAAGAAAGTCGCCGAAATGATATGCTGAGATGTGAGGCAATAGGTGTGGACAGCCACCCCACCCACATATTCAGGACATGGGTTAGCGATCAGAATATCCTTTATATACCGACAGATTTGAGATTCCATCCCAGCTGTATCGCACATATCTGCAAACCGCGCCAGCTCTATTGCAGCTGCGATATGGTGCTCGGGTTTATCTAAATCGAATTTGATTCTGCCGAGGTAAAGCCATTGTAAGAAAGCCTCAAGGCTTTGTACCGAAACAACTCCTTCGACTTCTTCCAAAGTTGTTGTCTGCTGCTGTCCCTCTTTAAATCTCCCCTCGAACATTGCTGAGAAATATTTAGATTCTCTGCAGAGAAGATCCTTCGATACTGTGTAACTGTAGTCACTAGGATTGACTCCAATTATGACGCAGGCATTATGATAGAGTGGAATAATACTAGATCAAAAAGCGTTTAGATAACATCTTTACTACAAAGGGCATAGTACATACGATCTCGCAAAATACTTGGCACTTGCGTCTGATATATCGGACATTGTTTCAAGTTGAAATGCTGTGAGTTTGTGGAGAGGAGATGCTGAAAGGGGGGAAGGATGAGAGCTGTAGTGACCAGACAACCGACCGATTTTCTTGCGAATTAGTCTGTTTGGCTTGTTTGCAAGTGAGTGGTTCGCGAAAGAGTATGGCCCATACAGCCATGATACGATAGCTATTTTTGTGCCATTGTTTGTTACCGTTTTAAGATACTGCCAATAGTCTGGGTCAAGGGTAGGCTAACCGTAAAGGGTATGGCGCCATGCAAAATAGAGTTCAACAAAGAATTGAAGAGAGTAAATAGGTGAAACTGATTTCGAGCGCGTCTGTACTGGAATTTGAGTGACTGTACGCCATCAAATCGACTGTACCTACCTCACACTGTATCCGATAACGATATGTGCTTGATCCTGTAGCAGCTCTTGGTACTATACAACTGGGCAGCTAGTGGACCGACGCGCGACACTAATCGAACGAAAATGACGGGACGGGCCGAGACACGAACCCCTGAACCGCCCGACCGCGACGAGCACGAAAATTCCCCACCGCGATTACTAAGACCGAGACGCTCCACCAGGCCGTCCAACAATTGTGCCCAGGAACAAGAACTCGATATCGAACAAAGCAACGCGCGTTCTCAGCGAAAGAAGAAGACCCAGGGCAAGCGGGTATCCCAACGTGAAGTGGTAGCCTCGGAATCATCAACAGAGAGCGAGGACCCGAACGCGTCGGAGCTATTGAAGGAATTTGTCAAACTCAGGAAGGAGATCAGACAGCGAGACAAATTACATACGGAAGAGCTTCTAAAAGTCAAAGAAGAGTTTGTCGCCCTCAAAGAAGAGTTCAGTGCCGCCCTTACAGAAGTTCGACACGAGCTATAGACCCTAGCAGATAGACCCGCGATCCCGCAACCCCACCTCGAGCCACACTCTTAGAATAACCACGATGAGATCCTACGCGAGATTTAGTCCTTACGCGAGGTGATCAGCGCCCCCGCTCTAATGAGCTCCCCTTCCTATATAGATGTCGCGCGCACTCCCCCGCCCAGTTACCCAAGTAATATACAGACCCTACTAACGCTAAACACGACACCGACCACCTTTACCGAAACTTTATACTATACGATAGACACCTCGAAGATGGCCGAAAGTGAATTAGCGCTCCTAGAACGCTCGCTTAAAATTCCAGGACCAGGACCGTACTTTCGGGGATCTAGGTGAGGTATTCTTGGAGCGCTTCGGTTCACGTGCAGGCTTCAAACCCAAGTAGTATCTTATAGCAGATCTATACAGCGGTCCTAAGCAGTTGTTGACACACTTCCTGGGCCACATGACGACGATTTCTGTGCTCGGCATTTTCTGGTACTCCTGAGCAAGTGACCTGAAGGATACTTAAATGCGAGAAAACCCCGAAGAGTTTGTCAATTTAATACCTTGTACTTTGACCATCTCAGTTCAGCAAGTAATTGTCACACGCTTTGACCACTAGTGGTGTGCTGACCAAGCCTCCCGTCTTGGTCAGCCACACTAAAGTGTCAAACCACACTAAAGTGTCAAATTTTCACCTTTTAATCCCATTTCTCTACCAAAATACGTCAAATATGCCATCTGAACTCGAAATACGTTACCAGCAAGCCCTAGCTACCATATCCGACCAAAATGAGCCTAATATAACGGAATTAGCCCGGTCGTTCAGCCTTCCATATCGGTCGCTACTCCGTCAGTTCCACGCACGCGGAAAAGTTAAGACGAAAATATCACCACAACGAGCGCTGAATATGATGCAAGAAGCTGCTTTAATCCGATATATTAAGTAGCTTGATGATCTATGGGCGCCTTGTACGCTCCAAGAGATTGAACGTTGCGCAAATTCAATTTTAGCACGTTCTAACCAGCCTCCGGTTAGCAAGATGTGGTCTAGCCGATTCGTCTGACGTCTTCCAGAAGGCTTCTTTTGGATTAAACAGAAGCCTATAGATAAAAATAGGCTAGAATCAGAGGATATTTCACGTCTTATAACCTGGTTTAACCATGTTGGAGATTGGATTGAAGGTATTAGTCCCAAAAATATCTACAATTTCGACGAGACAGGGTTCCAATTAGGTCAAGGACGAGCTCAAAAGGTCGTGACGCGCTATTAATATAGCTTAGATAGGCTCTCTTCGACCGATCGGGGTCAAATTGTCACCTCAATTGAGTGTATTGCCGCGGATGGTTAGGTTATGGTCCCATATTTGATCTTCCAAGGTCGGACGCATATAGAGGACTAGTTCCGTGACAATCCAGCGCTTAATCAGCACTATAAAATCTAAGTCTCTCCAAACGACTGGTCGTCTGATCTAATTGCCCTAGAATAGCTTCATTTATTCCATGAAAACACGAAAAATCGCGTTGGGACCAATGGAAAACGCGTGCTTTTCTTCGACGGGCATGGATCCCACCTTACGTTTAAATTCCTCGATTTTTGCGAAAATCACCGAATTATCCCAATCAGCTTTCGACCCCATACCTCTCATTTTACTCAACCTTTAGACCAAAAGCCATTTTTAAGTTTAAAACAATATTTTCGGAAGGAAAATACGCTTATAAACGCGTGGTTCCAGCCCGATTCAGCAAAGCGGGTATTCCTTCAAAATATCACTTCAATCCGACAGAAATCATTCCAACCACGAATTATCAAGAGCGCGTTTCGAGATACTGGAATTTGGCCTTTTAATCCTAATATTGTGATCGGACCAATCCAAAAAAGATGGGATGAAAGGCATAAAAATGACCCAATTCTCGAGCTCTTAGGCCACACACCAGAACCACACTCTTCGCCTATTAATTCACCACCTCGAACAATTGAAAGGCTGAATTATGTGGGAAATAAGCTTGAAAAGCGTATTGGAAAAATATCGGACGAAATGAAAGATCAGACCGAAGAGCTTAATCGGTTGAAACGCGATTTCAAGCACTACCAGATAGGCCAAGTTATCAACACGGAGTATACCAATGAGCTTGAGAGGAAATTCCTCCCAATTCAAGCTCGTCAACGTCCAATTCAGACCAAAAGGTCTAGAAAGCAGCTATCAAGCCTTACTGCTTTAACACCTCTAGATGCCAACCGGCGAATTTGGAGACGTGACGAGGAGGAGAAAAGGTTGGATCATATGCGCATGCTCCGAGCCGCTGCAAAAGAATTGGTCCCAATTCCACAAAGATCGGACGAAAACGGAGAAATTGAGGATTCTGATAGCTGGGTCATTGGAGATGATGGAAAACCACTTTATACAATAGATACAGAAGGTGTGACGCTGGAAAAGCTCAAAAAGGGTAAAAAATGACACTTTAGTGTGGCTGACCAAGACGGGAGGCTTGGTCAACACACCACTAGTGGTCAAAGCGTGTGACAATTATATCTTATAAACTAAAGGTCTCCCCGCCTTCCAAATTCTTGGACCTCTACGTGGGATTCGATTCGTCAAGTGGTGCTCCAGCATAGCGAAGATCAAGCTAGCCTACCACCTTTACGATGCTCATTCGATATATTCTACTGCTGGAGACAATCTTCTTACGGATGGTCAGCGGACATCTGATCATGATCTCGCCTGAGCCCTACAGCAAAGAAACCCTCAACAACTCTCCTCTTGCTGAACATGGTAGCGATTTTCCCTGCAAACTACGCACAGATGCATTCTTGGCTCCTTCAACAGAGACTATCTACCAGATCGGCATTGTGAACACAATCAGGTTCGAAGGAAGCGCGACACACGGTGGCGGCTCATGCCAATTGAGCCTGACCAAAGACCGTGAGCCAACCAAAGATTCCGAATGGAAGGTCATCAAGTCCTATGAAGGAGGTTGCCCCACGAAGGCAGAGAAACTTGCCGGAGGCGCCACTACCGACAATGGCCTTCAACTCGATTTCGCAATTCCGGAAGGCGTTAACTCCGGAAAATATACTTTGGCCTGGACATGGTTCAATCGTATTGGGAACCGTCAGATGTATATGAACTGTGCCCCAATCACCGTGGCGAGTGACTCGCCGCAACAATCCTACAAGAGCATACAAAAGCAGAGGCCTAATTTCCCACCCATGTTCATCGCCAACATAAATGGCTGTATAACCAAAGAGAATGTGGACATTCGGTTTCCTCAAAAGCATTATCGAGCACAATGGCCAAACGAATAATCTTCTTCGCTAAGGTGAGCCATCATGTACCGGAACACCTACTTTCGGTGCCTTGGCAGCCATCAGGTCAACTATTCCTGATCCTGCTAAGGGTGTTATTGGTGAGACCGTTTCATTTTCCACTTCATCCACTCTTGCCCACACTCCGTCTTCGGCTTGCTCTTGTCGTGCTCTTCGTCGCAATTCGGACCATCGATAATATATCTTGAGCACTCAAGGCACAATCAAAGCGTATAGGCTAGTGGAATATGAAAGAAGGCAGGCCGATAGCGAGAATGGGCTAATCGAACTCATTGAGGATCCCAATTTTCGTCGCTTCCCATATTCCAGTTTGGAGATTCAGGCTCAAGTTCAAAATTTTGTTATTCGCTCACTTTGTGCAGTACTCCAAGCACCTTATATTTTCTATCATACCGTGTCGTGTCATTCTTTGATCATCAACATGCAATGAGAGTGCGTCTCGGCACGTCCAACTGTAAAAACCTCTCCAATGGTATACCCAGCTTAGAATGATCCAGAGGTGAGTGCAAGATTCAACATCGTTGAGCCAGAAAATTGACGCAATACTTGCCTTTCGAATCTTCCCGTATTTAGGCAAAGACGTCCATTCGGAGAGTGAGCTTGAACCACGAACGTTAATCCAGGCAGAATCGGCAACATTCCAAATTCAATCTATGTTTCGTATGGTCAACCAGGCCAACTCGAGAATACCCAGTGTATTATGCCCAGAATTTGTAAATATAGATCCTCTCAACAGGGTTCATAGGTCTACCTCATGCTTGGCTCCTTCATTAATAGCGCGTACGTGTTTCCTGCGGTCCATCAGACACTCCTACTTACAGTAACCATCACATGCTTTTACTTGTTTCGCATCAGTTACTAAGAATAGCTCAGAAGGGTTCATTAGACATTATTTATATGAATTATGCATTTTAAAGGGCTCCAAGTGCTCTAGAAAATGAGCCCGCTATATCTGTAGCCTAGTCATTTCTGGTGGTCGAAATATTCACCACCAATGGGATGCACTACCTACGGTGAGACTTTCAAAATGTTTTCATGTAACGACCGACAGATGTTTAGACCGCAAACTGTTATCTTCCAACTCTAAATTGACTGTGTAACTACCTTCAATCATAACCACAGCTTCTCTTTGAGCATCGCTTTTTTGCAGCTATGCCATTCTTTCAACATATAACATATTTGGTGTCTAACCCAGGTCAAATCCTTGCTGGCCGCATAAGCTTCAACATCAAGAATGGCGCATGGTTCATAATCAAACCGTAAAGGCTAAGCTGAGACTATAAATGCCCATGTGCACGCCGCCCCATGACCGAGGCACCAAACAACCTTTTTTCAACTGAACTCTGATATTCTGTATCTAAGATCAATATGAACATGAGTCTTTTGCTGGCTTTTTTCACATCCATCACAGTGGCTCTCGGAGGGACCCTTCAGATAATTGACTATGAAGGCCAGTGCTTCATGTATTCCACGGAAAATTTCAACTGCACTGAGGTCTCAGAGCCATTTGCACCACTTGAAGGCGCCTTCTGCTCCAGTAAGAAACCCACTGGCGATGAAGAGTATTTCTGAGTACAAAGCACCATGACACAGTCCGAGTCCAATCCAGTTAAAGTCAATTTGTGTGGCTCTTACCAACATTCTGCGTGGGTTGAAGGGTATCAAAGTGGTTTGCTTTACTTTCACAACGACCAGGGAGATGAAGCGAGCTGCAGGATCGATAAATCTCTCCAAAGGGGCAGCTCCTGTACCGTCGGTAGCAGTATATGGACCTCGACTTCAAACACAAGACCCCTGCAAACTTCATCTGACGCTACGTCCGGCCATGTATCAGTTGCGGCAGCGGGAGTGATCACGGCAACCTATTCGGATTCGTCGATCTCTCCGAGTTCTACAATGGATTGTTAGATATGAAGGCAGTCAACAGTCATTGTTTGGCTACGCCACAAGTTGTCATTTTCGGTTTCTTGAATTTAAGTTCACTCGGTGTGTGAGGACGCAAGAGGGTGATGGACTTTGATTTTGTCCCAAGCCTCCCCCTTTCTTAGGTTGGCAATTTGACCATAAGTCAGTTGCTTCATGTTTCGCGAAAATCAAAGTCTAATGTCATCTTTTTTTCACAATATTTGAAGCCAGTGACCGTACTGTATCTTTATTAGATACTTGCCATTCCTATCCACTTTCCAAGTACTATCCATGTATTTGTCGACTCGTTACCCAGCCAGAAGGTGTATTAGTTTCAGTTTACCGCTGAGAGGCACAGAGTGCGTTTGTAAAATTATGTCCCCTGGCCCCTCGTCGAAGTTGAACTTGGATTGAGGCAACAGTATGATCCTTTCGTAAGTATGAAAACATATAGCTATGGAAAACCGTTGGCGTCGTCTAAAAACCCAAAGCCTGGTGTTTAACTCCGAGTCCCCCGATTGGGATCCACAGTCAACTGTTTCTGTCCCTATCAGCTCCCTCTGAGCTCCTGAGCTTCATCACAAAAGATGTAGCCAAAACGTTGGTTTTGTCCGTCTCTCTGAACATTCTTTGCTTTAGTAGACGGCCATCGGATCACTGCCCTTGGCTCCAGCACCACCGCATAGTCGAACCGTCGTAAAGTTTCAATCCGGACCCTATTGACCAGTAGTGGGCAATCAAACCCGTAGTGCCAAGAACTAGTCTCTTTGACGATCACCGTTGAAATTCGTTCATCCTCATCTACTCCAATGATTCATCAATTCGTTTTAACTAAGATGGTATATTGGCAAAGCCTTGAAGCAGAATGCTCATTCGGAGAGTCTGATGCTTTGTAATCACCATAAAACCAAGGAGTAGCTTTTAGCACGTATCATGAGTACACATGGAAACACACTGGCTACATTGACTATATCTTCTTTTACAACATCACCATTTTTGCTCCAGATCTATCCCATGTGTACTTTAAGTCATAAGTGTTTCGGTAGAGACAGTGCAAGGTCAAGGGTCTGGTGTGAAGGGGTGTCCCGGACTATTCGACGACACAATTCGAAATGAACAAGAGAACCAGTTAGCAGTGCGGCAGCCAGGGCTATATGCAATGTAGGCAAATTCGACGTGGCTGGCTGGCTTAGATACAATATGCAAGTATAAATGATCTAAGCAATTTATATCCATCATGCATGGAAGGATCAATATGTCATAACTTTAGTTGTGTCATCGTTGCTTGTAAACTCGTATTCATTTCTGGAGGCTTCTGGGAGCACTCCAGCTTCTGGAAACACACTTGAACCCCAGAACTCAAACTTCCATATAGCGCTGGAAAGTCTAGGGCCTTGCCATCTATTGGCGACTAGGAATCCTTTTTTCAACCCGAGATCCACCTCGCTTGATCCGTGAGTACGATTACTCACATGGCAGGGGTCCTGGTATCCAACTCCCGCTTCCCAGGAGCCTAAATCGTTCCCGAACTTCTCCTAGTGGTTTCCTACCGTACAACAAGTGATCCTGCATTCTGAGTTCATATTGCCCCAAGATGTATCTTCTGGTACATATAAGATAGTCAAGAATTCTCCTCCATCTCTCAGCTTTCTATTCAAGTTACCCAACACGCCAATTTCACACGAAACAAACCGTACTCCAGCTCCTCTTCAACCCAGCAGTTCAATGTGAGTATGGCACAGCCCCTACCATTTACTACACGATTTGGTACATCAGTTAATACTAACGTAACAGATAGATGTCCCTTCTCAATCTTCCTGTTGAAATTCTTCTTTGCGTAGCAGATAGCCTGGATCAAGCCAGAGATTTGCTTGCGCTTGCTTGTCTCAATCAAGCAGCGAACGATCTTTTTATCGACTATCTGTACAGGTTCAACGTCCGACTCCAAAGCAGCTCCGCCTTGTTTTGGGGAGTCCGCCGAGGCAGATCGGAATTGTAAAAATGATGTTGGACGACTACCGAGCGGACCCCAACACCACAGACGGTAGATCCCGCACACCAATCGTTTATGCAATTGGACAAAGAACGAGACAATTATTCACACGCTTCTTGTCCATAAGAGAGCGGATATCAATTGGCAAGATAAACACAGGCAGACCCCACTGATATATGCCATTGAAAGGAATCTTCTGTCTACTGTATCACTTTTACTGGATTTTGATCCATGTCTGAATACAAAGGATGTCAAGAACCGGTCTGCTATTTGGTACGCCATCGTGTTCTGCGATGCGAATCTGGTGCAAGTCCTTCTGGAACGGGGCAGCGTTAAACGCCAGATTACAAACGATTTTCACCATTCAGCCTTGCTATTGCAAGAAGAGCCCGAGAATTACCCGGCTGTTACTTCTCCATTCAGATCCCAATTCAAGAAAGACCCTACTGGAGGATGTCACTATCAGAAACCGTCTGCTCCGCCAGGCTGTACAGGCAAGCCTTCAAGATGTCATCGCGCTACTGGTTGCCCATGGCGCAGATCCCAATTCTAGAAATACAGATGGCCTGAGCCTGTTGCATCTAGCCACGAAAAACGGTGACAGGGAGGTAGTCCAACAATTGCTCGCCTATGAAGAGATCTCCATCAATGCAACGGACAGACAGTCCTGCACTGCTCTCCACATCGCAGCAGAGTATGGATGCACGTCGGTAGCCAAGTGCCTGCTGGCCAAATGCGGTATAGATTCCAACGCAAGAGACAGTTACGGTCGCACTGCCTTCCACATCGCAGCAGAATATAGCAATAAGTCGATCACAGGGCTTCTCTTAGCCTATGGTGCTGTGGATATCAATGCCCCAGATGTTAGTGGAGCAACAGCACTTTGCTTAGCTGCAGATGCGAAACACACAGCTGTAGCCTTACAGATTCTCGCAGAAGATCATGTAGACGTCAACATGGCCAGTCAAACCGACAGGACAGCTCTTCACCATGCGGCAAGAACGGGAAACATACTGACCGCATGTGTCCTTCTCGCCAATGAGGATCTAGATCCCAATGTTCGCGACAACCAGGGATGCCCCCCCCCCCCCCCCCCCGGACCTACGCTGCTTTTAATGGTAATTTACGCATGGTGGAACCCTCTGAACACGAGAGATCTCTCATAGAAATCGAAGGAATGTAGCTCCCAATTAGCTTTCTATTGGCCATGGATCAATACGAATTCAGAAAAGCTTCCTGCCACAATGGCGACTCGACCGCCGGGTGAGATGGTACTGGGATTGTATCTGGATGTGATGTCGCCAGAATAAACGCCAATTTGTCGAGGGAAGCCGTTTTTTGTCCAGCCCACCGAAGCCAGTGCCAGGCTGAGGCCTGGACGCGGAACTCGTCCTGCCAAAAATTGCAATCTCGTCCACATATATCCGAACATTTCGAGGAAGCGAGTCACAGTGCTCCTAGCACCACAGGTGTTATGCTTCGTCACCGACCGACGCGAGTTGGAGGGTGCCGTGATATTTCCGAACCGGCGAAAGTGGTTCCTGATGTTGATAATCGAACGATTACTACATCCAGCAGCATTGACCATTTGTGGGGTAGTCAGTAATTTGTTCCGATATCATGTCGTGGTATATTACTCTTTGGAGAGACGTATTGGTGCCATGTTGCGGAGACAGATCTGGATTAATGGAGGAAAACTTTGGCAAGGGCGGTGGTAGACTGCCGCGGGCGGGAGGGGGGGAAGGGGGTATGGGAGCGACTCCATCTGCTCTCTCTTGCTCACCCCGGCCCACACCGTAAGAAAAATTCACACTGTAAGACCAAATTTGACATTATTCACACTATCTATCAACACATAGGACGCGGGAAAAAAAAAACAAAAACAAAAAACCCTCTCCTGCTTCATGAGCTGCCCTCGCCGTTTCGATTTATTGCTCACTTTCCTGCGTCGGCCATGGTGGCGTGGTTGACCATCTACTTTTATACTGTCTGATCAACCGTTTTTCCTCTTATATAGCCTTTTTCTATTCCTCTCCTTAATCGAATGATTGGCATTCCGAATCCCCATTATATTAGTGCTACTGTGCTGTTTGATCTGCCTGCGTGTATTATCGCTGTAGAAGAGAGCGAGCGACCATCATACGGCATATAATAGCGCTGGAAAGCTCTGCGCGATCTGTGATAATCTTGTTATGTTGTAATACACGCTGCCGTAAACAGGCTTTGAAACATTCAGTGTCCTGGATGAAATAATATCAAACTTATGTCGCATTAAACCTGGCATGTTAACGCCTACGAATAAACCGTGTGTCATTGTCAAATCATCACTGCACTCAGACATGCTCTGCAAGGGATGGGAATGCGTATTGACTAGGACATGTGGGGCCGCCAAGACCAGATTGAGGTTGTAGATAGCGGTCCGCGCCGTTCGAATAGTACCCTGTACTCGCCCCACTCCCCAGTTCGGCGACTACAAGGCACGCATCCTAGCTATTCAAGCGTTTGGGTTGGCGAAAATTGGTGACGCCGGCTTTGGCCTCAGTGGCGATCCACCAAGTCCCACCATGCCTCTCTTTCCTCTCACATTCTGGAACTCCCTCTGTGAAGGGCTGAAGCAAGAATTGATTGAATCTAGCCATGCCTCGAACTGTTTACCGAATGCGTGAAGAAAGGATAACGTACTCAACTACCGGACCAGTACTACCACTGAGACGGCAGCCCTGTATTCCATACAAAATTCCAAATTTTATTCCTTTATATCCCAACCACACTATGATTATTTTATTAAATATTTTTAGTCTTCAAAAACTAAATAATATATTCAGTTCAAATTTTGGTATTTTTAAGTAATGTACCCTATTATTCGTCAAAACATTATAAATTATAGCGTACGCATGTGTATTTTTTGTTATATTGGCAAATAATAGACTGAAATATCTAAGAAAATATTTATAGGTCTTAACGCATCTAGCAAAAAGAACTAATAGTGGTTGAAACATGAAGGATTAAATATCGCGATTTTGTGGGAATACAGGGCTACCGGCTCGGTGGTGGTGCCGGTTCGGTGGTTGAGTACGTTAAGGAAAACTGTGTGATGCAATATTAAGTAAGACTCCCTTATGAGTTTTCTCGCCCCAGGTAACTTGCTCCCTCACGTGAGGACGTATTGCGTGGGTCGCGTGCTTCAGAGTACTTTTACTTTCGAGGGTTCTTTGGGTTGGTGCTTCCTCATTGATGGTGATCTCTGCGGTTGTAAAGCTTTGTTCGCCTCACTTTAATAGGCAATAGTAATGGTATAAACCCACTTTCTATCCGTTTTCCCTCACCTGCTCCCTAGGATCAGCCGCCCGACAGACCGCTGGTGTGCTTGGGCGTCAACCGTCCGCCTCTCTACCATTTATACATAATGGATACATCATGCTGCTTCCGTGGCCCTGTCGCTGGGGATCGGGTAAGGGCCTTTTTGCATTCAACCCGCAAAGGTAAACCCATCAAAACCCCCACTGACAACCAAATGCGGTGGTATATAAGCCAAGCCCCTCCCTCCTCTACTACTATTACTTTTGTATCAACCCATCCACCATGTCCGCTAGGGAAGAGCTGGAATCCTACTTCCCCGAAGATCCCACCGTCCCGTCCCTCGCTCTAATCGCATCCAATAAAGCATAGATCACACTCCCATACTCCACCGGAGGCAGCGACAACCCCACTGCCCTCCTCGGCTCTAGCTATTACCCATCAAAGCTAGAAAGCACCAACGCGCGGGCTCTATTCGATGCTAAAACCGCCTAGTCGGATAGCAGTTTAAAAGAAAGCGTGCGCTTTCGCATTAAGAATAGGGCGCGCTCGACGTTCTATAAAGCTATTACGTCGAATTCGTATACCACGGCCAAACATTTAAGTATTTTAGGTTATGCCCGGGCTAGGGGGATTTTGTGGGTGCGAGTACGAGCGGGCGGTATAATAGCGATGTTTCGGGTAATATATATATCTATCTTACCCCCTCACCCCGCTTCCCTTTTACTTATTACTTAGATAGAAGTAGCTAGTGGTTTATTCTAATGATAGTAGGATATAAAAGTATCTATTTAGGCCTCGATCTAGACTAGGATAGTTTATATTAATAAACCACGGTTTTCGCTAGATGCGTTAGCCGATACGCGTAGATCCCGCTTAAACCTATTATACTTTTCTGAAATATATAGCGACTACTACGTGGCTAGTCTATACCTCGGCGTAGACGTAGGGGTCCTTATATCTACTATAGCCCACGCTAATATTAAGTTAAAAAGCCTCGACGTTAAAGCTAACCTATATATGCTATGGTGGGATATTAAAGCTAATTATTATAGCTAGAGCGAGTCGTTAAATTTCTGGTCCTAGATCTAGGTGACTAGGTTTAATATATTAGCTAGGGAGAATATAGCTAGTACGTTGCTATAGAGTCCGCCATAAGAGTTAGTTATAAAGTATATCTAGCGAGTTATAAAATTAGAGGTAAATATTAGGGAGAAGATAGGCACGTTTAGATTAACTAGTAATTAAGTAGTAGATCTATATATATATAAGAGCCTTTGCTAGGCTAGGTTAGTTATAGAGGTTATACTATTACTATATAGCCACGTGAGAGATTATGTGGCGACGCTAAATGAGTGTACGCTATAGGTAGAATCCCGATTTATCTAGCCCTTCTTAATGGTTATATCGGAACTAGAAGGTACTACTTAAAGATAATTAGACTCTGGTATGGTAGCTTACGCTCCTTACTCGCGAGGCTAGGATTTTTAGTGATTTTATTAACCTATATTATTAGTATCTATTATATAGGATAGGGTATGGTATATATACCTCTTTTATAATTAAGTTTATGTTCCACTAAATATAAATCTTGGCTGATTTAAACCTAGCGAGGGTTTCCATAAATAGCTTTGTGGTAATATATGGTTTCTTAGCCGTTTTTAGATAATTAGGGTCTATATTATTAGTATATACTTATCTTAAATTATAGATAGACGTACCACTAAATTCGCTCTTCTTAAATTTCGTCTTACTAGTATCTAGATCTACCTATGAGAACTAAATTTCCTTATAGATGTTCTTATAATCTAGAAACGTATCTTATAAGATAGAAGTGTAAACGCTTATATTCTTATATAATAGAATATCCATTTTCCCTTTACTATAAAAGCTCTTAAGAGCTGTATACTTTATAAGCACGGTATAGGTATAAGTAGGCGTTTTAGCCACTAGAGTTAGGAATCGAAGAGCTGCTACTCGTAGGTTAGTAATGTTCTAATTATCGTTAGCTATAATAGCTCCCTTAGTATCTATACCTGATAGAATGAATAATAATATACGCTTCTTTAGCTCCTATCTACCTCTAGACTAGCTAATAGAAATGGTGGTCTTATTCTCCTTAAAGATATCCTACTAGTTCTTTTTAACCTCTATATTACCTTTAATGACTAACCTAGAGGCACTATTAGCCTCCTTCTTCTCCGCTTTTATCTTCCCCTCTTCTTTTTGCTCCTCTTCCTTCTTCCCCTCTTCCTTCTTCCTATTTCCCTTATTGTCGTTATCTCCTAGTTCTTTCTTCTTTTTTTTGGTAGGTATAGCTAAAAGTGTTTCTATCTTTCCTACCTTGGTTTTCTTACTTCTAAATAAGGGGGTGGTTAAGGCGATAGCCGCACTAGAGGGGTTAGCCCTTGTCCGCTAGTATATGATGAGATATATACTTAGCTTTGATATTCTCGAGCTAATTCCTATCCTTAACTTTAATCGAGATGATCGCGTGAAACTCTCCCCCTTCCTAGAAGCCTAAGATAAACGTATCTCTATATACCTTGTTGATCGACGAACTATTAAGGTTCTCGATTAGGATAAACTTGGTGAGTTTATGATCTATGACTATCTGATTAATTACCTTAACGCTAATTAGAAACGTGATATTGGAGTTATTGATCTTATTAGAGTTAATAAAGGCTCCTTTACTAGTTCCGTCGATTAGGTTGTTGTATTTGATAGTGAGGGCTCCGCTAATCTATCTTCTTTAGTATATAGATATCCTATTAGGCATTAAGGTAGGTATATATTTAAAGCATCTATAATCTTAGATACCTTATTAATAATACTTGACTTAAAGATAACTAACTAGGTAACACCTTCGCCCCCTAAAGGCCCTAGGAGTGCTAAAGACTCTGAGGGGGCTAAAGATGGGGGGTGGTAGTTTTCGTTATAACGGCATTATCGATATATAGCTTATATATATATGAATTAAAGCTAGAGCTAAGTCTTATAGAACTATTATAGGGAGCGAGAAAGGGCGCTATTTTATAGCGGAAATACTAATATGGTAGTATAATATAAGAGCTAAGTAGCGAGAGCTAAGTAGGTTAATATTTGATTTAGTCTTTAGCTTATATAGCATAGCTACTAGATGGGAGGAAATAATTGCCTAATATATTAACTTAGAGTTATAGTATGATAAATTCTTAGAAACCTTAGCTCTCTTTAATAACGCTATTTATTTTTATGTATTATAGTAAAGAAAATAAATAGATAGACTAGGCTAAGCTAAAGGATTAGTAAGGGCTAACCTACTATATGTGGTGGACTAAATCGAGGGTCTAAATAATGTTAAATACTACCTACCCTATTGCATAAGATACTAAGGCTCCTAATGACGTATTATCTTTTAGCCTATTAATTCTATATAAAATAATTTGACTATTTTAACGACTAATAATAATAGTCTAAATAATTCGATTACTAACTAGTTTAGTTGAAATTTATGTAGGGCTAAGGGAACCGCTATACTATGTAATAATCTCACTAGTATTATACTATTTTTTTTTTTGCGTCCTACCTTTTTTTTTAAAAATATAATTCTAATAATGATACTACCTCTCTAGGGTTAGGGAGGGTCTAGGAATTTTTTATATTTAATATTAAATTAGGGTATGTAAGGGTTGGAATATTAATAGAGAGAATATCTAGTAAATAGATTTATACCTCTATCTAAGGGAGGTAGGGTAGGCGACCCTAGCGTGGGGATCTTAACCTAAGGACGTATAGGTACTAGGTTATGAGATATATAGTGGGGAAGGGTGAATACTAGGTTATAATTACGTAAGTAAATAATATATTATACTTAGAATTAGTCTTAAAGTAATTATTAGAATAGGATTTATCCTCTATCTATCTTCTTAACCTTTTCTCTTTATATCCTCATAGTAAAATAAGTGCCTAAACTACCCTATATAATGATTTAATGCGCCTTAGCTCTAGGTAGGTTGCTCCCTAATATAAGAGTTAAGCTAATATCCTATAGGTTTAATTCCTATACTTAGTAGCTATAAGTTAATGATATAGTTATTAAGGAAAATAAAATACCTCTAACTAATAACGATCTTAGGAAAAAATTAACTCCTAGCTTTGATATAGTTAGCTAGTAGGTAACCTTTACCTCTAAGTTTATTGACTATATTAGCGACCTTACTAAGGCGTTAAATATCAGCGGTATTATATTCTCTCTTCTATTCCGCTTAAAGAGGGCTAACTAAACTAGGGGCCCTAGAAATTAAATACTAGGGAGTAGGGGGCGTAAAGGCGTCTAGAGGTATATCTCTTTTACGATCGCTTCACGACCTATATATACTAATAGAAATAGCCTACCTTAACTTCTCTAAAGTTAAGGAAAGCGATATTAGCTACTTTATTTAAGTTAAGGTAGTTAACTAGTAGCTTATCGCCGATGATGCTACTAAATTTAATATTATTTCTAATATCACCATTACTGACTAGTAGCGCTTTACTAAGGTCTATAGGGATAGCTATATCTCTAGCTTCCTTAAGGGTAGTGAGTTTAATGCTCTTCTTTCTATTAAACTAAACGATATAGAGAGCGCCATGAATATTAAGGGAGCGCTATTAGTTAAACTATCCTAGGCTGGTTTAGGCGTTACTAGATTGGCTAAGGGGGGGGGTTTAATAAGAATAATTAAACTAAGATCTTAGAGACGTCTATTATATATGCTTCCTCTTACTATATATTAGTTTATATACTTATGGTCACTAATAGAGTATCCTAGTCTAGCGGCGGTGAGATCTAGGATAAAACGTCTATTATAAAAGGATAGACGATCGAAAGTATAGCTAAAGCGGCCTTTACCTTTCTAGATTAAGTCCGTAAGACTCTATAGAGGACACACGCCGTCCTTACTAAATATTCAGCCTTATAATTATATTAACTCCTATTGAATAAGGGTAGTCCGCTCGACTATAAGAATATAGGTATCTATATAAACGCTCTACTAGAAAGTTATCTTAATTATAAGGTGATCTAGAAGATAATTAGAATAAGTATACTACTCCTCTCTATCTAACGTATCTAGAGCTAATTAGGTAGTAAGCGCTGACTATAGCTAGGGGAAATCGATCCTAACTATCTCTATAACTATAAAGGATACTATAACGGAGATTAAATCGATAAAGGAAGAGTTTAAGTCAATCTCGCACTAAACGTAGGATGGATAGGACCTATTTAGCCATATCCTAGATACCCTATATGATGGCAGTCTAGTTAGGCTGGTAAAAGCCAAGCGCGATTATCGATTACAGATGATTTAGATCGTGAAAGAGGTATTTACCTTATTAATAGATATAGATACTGATGCTGTGGTACTGACTCTTTAGGTTAACGCCGTTACACAAGATCCCAAGCTTGCCACTAACCCTAATCGTGTCGGGATATATCTGAGCCCGTTACTTTTCCGTCAACTCCTTCCGGTCTATTCCTATCTAGAGATCCCTACCCGGAGGCAAATGCAATACTAATACGGCCATAGATCCCAGGACCTCGACCGACAGATAGAGAGGTTCGACGCGAAAAGGAACGTATATCGTCACTAGAGAAGAATGTGGAAGACTTGAAACACGATGTTGTCGTATTGAAGTAACGCAACCTGAATTTCATTTCAGTTTAATCATCTCAATTACTGCATAAGATAGACCAAAACGTAATCACAAAGCCCGTAATTCATCTAGATATATAATATTTTATAGAAAAATTAGGAGACCACAGTCATTACCTCGCAGTAGAGAAGCTATGCGGGAGAGGGTACCGCGCCGTCTTCCTCTGAGGACGTTTTCGCAAGTTCTGCCCTATATGTCACAGAAACACTTCTACTTCGTGGAAGTCTAACCTCAAATATACACCAAAACACCATTGTCTGATGTTAGTTTCGATATACAACCGTCACGGCAAGCATCCTCTTTTCGTATTACGAAACCAGTTATTAACAAATTCCAGGTGACAAAATATTCGCGGGGAGCGTTTTGGACATCCTTGTGAGGCAAAACCTCCGCACATGGGCGAATCGGACAACATGGCCTTCCGCGGCCTAATCGCCGTGTGCGTTGTTAAGCTATCCTCGTGGTGCTCGACTTCGGAATTGTTGTGATGCCTCCGCCAAGTCCACTACAGAATCCACCGTTTTGGTTTGCGAGGCGTGATCTAACTGACCTCTCCTCTCTGCCCGAACACCTCTCCTTAATATAACTCGACTATTTATATTTGAAATAATGCTGCACTCAACATCGCGGTTACAAAAAGAACCGTATACGCGGCACAAACAAAATGTTCGTGTTAAAGGATGTTCCAGGGAAGGGACAAGGTCTTATTTGACACGCGGTTTGTCTGCGAAGAAGCTGTCATCCGGATCCCTCATAGTCACGACCAACTGGGCAGTAAAAAGCTACAGAGATACATCAGCGAGCAGGTTGATGCGCTCACTAAACAAAGCGACTGGCATTCCTCTCTCTTCACAATATCTATCCTTACACCGATCCCGTTGAACAATATATCGGGATCATCCGACAAACGCCTTCTCAATTGAGGACGACGAGACCAGCGGAGCAGTTTTCCTCAAAGCAACCCGCATCAACCATGCCTGAGATAACAACCGCCAGAAAAGTTGGAACGAGAATATCACGCGGCATACAATCCAGGTGCTGCGAGATATCGACGAAGGTGAAGAATCCCACAATTTATTATCTAGCGGCACACAACGGCTGGCAAGCCCGACAGGGGGCGATACGAGGAACATTCAAGTTTCCATGCTCCTGTTGTGTTTGCTCGTTGGGACCCAAGGAAATAAAAAACGAATGATAAGACACTGGAAGAGATTGATCATCTGAATCATCTCGTCGGTCAGCGTGGCCTTGAGGAGATGGTATCATCGCCTCTCGGAACCCTGCGGTACCTTGACCGAGAGATTCATCTATATGATTTGACTGGTTGGGATACCCCGGGCTTGTCCAGGGTGTATATGGATGCTGCGGTTGCTATTGTGCATGGTGGTGTGGCACGAGCGAAGTGGTCACTGATCCGGAGCTAATTGACTTGAGATTCTCGCAGGTCTTTCCGTGAACCAGTCGGCCCGACATTACGTACCATACTAAAGGTGGCGTAAACGATGGAACCGTGCAACAAGACACCCCTGTTATCAACCCGGCAAATAGACTTCAGGATGCGCTGTGTAGGTGAGGTCGTCACGACGGTGGCAGTAATCAGGGCAAGCATAACACAGGGTCCACAGTACTAGACGGGGTGGTATCAATTGTGTATCCCAAAGAAAGGCTTCAGAAGGCCAATCGAGCGGAGGAGATTCTTGGAACAGTCGCTTGGAACCCAATTGAGGAGAACGATAGAAGCGAGATGCGCATATGGAGAGGGCACTAGACCTCTTGGCTACGGAGTAATATAAGTCAAATTATCTTTGCAACATAGTGGAAAGTAATTGAACTATGCGCGAGAAAATCAAGCAGCACAAATAGCATAAAAAAAGCCAAAGGGTATTCGCGTCCTCCAGGAACATCCTCATTTGGCTTGTTTTCAGTGCATTCAGTGAGAATGATATTCAACCTTTCGAATGGAGCAAGCACCTGAACCACGGTATTTGGTGCAATGGGAAATGGTGTTGCATCGTATTCTTTGAATTCGACTACCCAGCCGTCAACAGTCCTAAGGTCCAATTGAGCTCGTGGGGCTCCTTAGCAATCTCGCGCAAAGTCCTCAGTGATTGTAGAACTTGAACCTTCCAGGCCTTTTGGAGATACTCGACTGGGACCTGCTGAGTTGGCCCGTGGCGGATTAGGGAATAATTGGGTGACGCAGTGCATGGGGTGTGCGAGACTGAATTGTGTCTCGACCTTGTAAATGTATTCATCGTAAGGGACCTACCAATCTGAAACAGATCGTGCATGGATTGCTCATCATTGGATACTTGGTGTGGAGCCCCGTGGAGTTCTGTTTAAGCCCTCTTACGCCCAGGGAGTATTGACTAGTACCTTGGGTAGCTAGCTAGCATTTCTGCTAGAGCCCAACACAACAGAGCTTACAGGAAAAATCGCAGTTAGATGTGGCTTCGTACGATATACGTTTCCTTCCAAACCTAGCACATTCTCAATTAGAGCTAGTGGCCATTTTGGAAAATGATAACTAATTCCTTCATCGTATCTTATCACGCCAACCGTGCATATTCGTTTTATTCCTATACAGACTACTACTCAATTTCGATGTTGGCCACATTTCTCACTGAAAATAAGTTTTTTGATAGTTCCGCTCGGGGTTCCAAGCTTCTCGATAGACTGGACAACGTCCATGCCTTCAAGAACGCTCCCGAAGACGACATGTTTGCCATCTAACCACCCAGCCTTTAAGGTGTAGATAGAGAAGTATGAACCGTTGCTGAATGTTAATGCAATATTAGGATTCTGTCACCAATGTAGCTCGGACGTTCCAGTGTTTATGCAACGTACGTGTTAAGCCCGGCGTTAGCCATAGGCAGGATACCGGGCCCTGTGTGCTTCAGAGTGAAGTTCTCATCGGGGAACTTCTCGCCGTAGATGGACTTGCCACTAGTACCCTGAAAGGTTTTTCCCAGCCATTAGGTCACACGGCTTCTGGAGTGAGCTTGGGGGTAAGAAACTTACGTTGCCGCGGATGAAGTCACCACCCTGTAGCATAAAGTTGGGGATGACACGAAGGATTTTACTGCGAGCGTAGCCGAAACCCTTCTCGCCAGTGCAGAGAGCACGGGAGTTCTCAGCAGTTTGAGGAATGGCGTCGCTGCGCAGCTCCATAACAATCCGACCAAGCGGTACTGTGGATATTAGCATGAGACTATGACGCGGAAGCAGAAACAACCCACCGCCGTTGGCATTGATATCGAAGAAAACCCCGCCGGGTGATCCGCGCCTAAGTATAGTGCCGCTCCACTTGCGCTTCCGGCATAGCATCAGTTGCAACGCAATGATTTACGGGTAGTTTAGATAAGGTTTGCAGATTACCGGCTAACCTAATAAATGGAATCGTCGAAAAGAGTCTTATTTTCTTTGCGAACGCTCTAGTACCTCCCAAAATAGCTAAGGAATCAGAGCGCGAAAGGGTTTTTTGAGCCACAGAATTTCCGTACATGCTAGTACTGACCGACCCGATCCGATTTACCGTACCGAAACATACGGAGGAGGGGATAGTCGCTGAATCAGCCATCCTTTACTGATAAAATACCGCGTCTTAGCTTCTACCAAGGGTGTAAATGTAAAGTATAAGGGGGTATAGTACGGTTATGGACGAAACAGGAAAAGAAAGAAGAGGGAAGATTAACAATGCTTCACCGGCCAAGGCAGTGGAGCCTGCCTTAGTCTTCGCTGAAGTATCGCAGCGGTTTCAAAGCCTGGCTCGTTAAAGGCAGCATAAACATTAACATTGGCATGGAGGTCACGGCCGGCCTCGGTGATGATCTAAGTTCGTTTATGGAATGGTACGCAATATATGTAGGCATAGGGATATGCATGGTAATGGTAAATCTTTCATTCCATCGAAAGGCTTGAAAGAGGGCCTTCCATGAGATATTATCTTCTAGAAGGAAACTTGATGTCTTGAAAATCCTTTGGAGAGGCCACAAAATTTCATTAGCCGCCTAGCTATAAGGCTTTGTACTTCTGGTCCATTCTCCGTCGTTAGTCAGGAGCCTCAATACTAGAAGAGCGATGGTAACTTCAACTCGTTGGTTGCCTACGGTCAGGCGGCCGCCAAGGCTTCTTCACCAAGCGACATCGTGCCCCCAATTAAGTCGATTCGATTTTTTACGAACGCTGAAATGGCTAGAGCCGGCGAGCTAGCCAACATGGTGATGACCGCATATCTAGCAAACCAGCATTAATAACAAACCCTCGAATAACCGCTTGAGAGCTCTGGTCTCCTGGCTTGCATCAGCCCTGAGACGAGGTCTGTCAGAACACGTTTACATATTCTCCTGAATACTCAAGAAGCCTAAGATTAAAACGCCAACATCTGCCACTGTACTATAGAAGACAATGATATGGGAGGTTTGGGATCAGTTCTTGAAAATGCAGAGATAGAGAAGACCCCCCGAGCAGCTTAACTGAAGCGGAGCTTGAGCCTTCTCCACGAATCGATAATCATCACAGTCTAAGCTTAATATTGATAAAAAGCGATGTCAATTCAACCACCGTCCAAATTTGCGGGGGTGGTCGGCTGTTGGCTCCGTCGATCTTTTCGTGAGGTCGCATATAATACATGCGTGCATCTTGAGGTTTGTCTCTCGAGAGAGCGTGACTGTCGCCGGGTGTTTGTGACTTGGCTGTCCTTGTGTCTTCCAATCGGCCATCAAACGGCGGAAAACTGCTGTTGACTCGGTTTCCTCGACCTGCGCTTATCTCGCATTGTGAGGTAGTATCTGACGGGGATTAAGGAAGCCCTCCATGAAACCCCCAGAAGCCATCCGATGATAGAGGAACCCCAAGGCTTCTAATTCGAGCAACTGTGCCTAAGATGGACCCACGAAGAAGGCAATGCAGTATGCAAATGCAGCCCAGCCATGATGGGCCCACTGAAACGTACCCTGTTCCACATGGTAGATATGGGCCGGAAGACTGAAGCTAAACCCGGAGTAGAAAAGAACAAGATGTGTGACCGCTCAGCATCCGCTCACTTCTGCACATCCGCCCAGGTCGGAGCATGAAGACTGATTGCAATACTGGCAATCAGTAAGGCTCAAAGCATTTCCCCTTGCAAGTATGATGGGATGTCGAGCCACTGGAGCACACCCACTGGAGCACACCCGGCGTTGGGGCCCGGAAGAAGCGTCTACAGGACACCGCGTGTTGCAACTCCAGGGTAGATGGCTGAAGCGGCGACCGAGGCTATAAAATATCCAGCACACAAGAGCGAGTAGCCCACAAAGGCCAAAGCTATCTTGGACGGACGCCCTTTCAAGCCATCTAGCAAACTTTGACACAGAGCGGGGCATGCTTTTAGGCGAGGCAATATTGGATATCAGCGGGTTTATATCTTATTTTCCATAGGCTGCTTGAACGACGCTGACCGGCCCATAGTGCTTGGGGGGGCGGTCGAAAACAGCTTGGGATGTTGATGCGGTCATCTATATTGTTGGTGAAAAAGATCTGTTGGATCCCCTGTACTGATGGTATTGTCCTGTCACCCTGATACGCACTACTCATGCATTAGGGTTAGACCTGTATCTATATTACTGGGTCGTGACCCACATAACTTCATAATCAATACAACCATCATACACATGCTACAAGAAGATCGGAAGGCCTTTTTTTCACGGCTCCTCGAGGTGCGATAACCGGTTGATGATCGAACATCAGCCCCTCTCAAAAGATACCGGCAGCATTAAGAAAACCATATCTTTATTGCAAAGCTGGGTCTCATGAAGTTTATGTTTCACTGTGGAACCCCAATTCTACGCCTATCAAATGCCTTCAATATAATACAGTTGTTAACTGTCCTATTTCCCAACGACTGAACTTGGCCAACGTGCTGAGACGCCTTCAATATGTCGCATGGTCGCTTATTCGATTAGGCAGTGGCTGTCATTGCCAAAAGGATCAAGGAGGCAGCCGTGGCCAGCGATGGCGACCGTGGTACGCGTTATGGCCCTCCGCCCGTTGGATTTTCGCACCAAGTTTCTTTCAAATGACCAAGTCATTCTGGTTCTCGTTGCCATCATATCCGGACTCGTCAAATACGTAAAGAGCATTGTTTCTACGCCACGCATTCGTGTTGTAGCGAACATGTCTCCGGGCTGTTTTCTTCATATGGTTCTGAGCGAGTGCCGACAATGCCGGACCAGACACCACATCATTCGTGCTCTATAACTATTATAGTGATGTAACATATAAAATACTAGAAAGATAGACGGACTATAGGTCACGTGGCTGATCAGATACCCTCCTTGTCAAGATTCCGGCTGAGGACTGGACCAGAATCAGATATCCACTCCTTTCGTTGCCAGTCTTTCCATTATGAAGAAGCCTCAGGGTATACGCGCCGCTGCCCACTAGTGCTGTCTAGGGAGTCTCGGTTGCTTGAACCTTCATCCATGATATCGACCTGTCTGCTATGCCGGACTGCCATTGAGCCATCTTTATTTCAATAGCTAATAGGCATACTTCATTATGGTCCTGTCCATTCATAGCCAGTGTTCCAACGAGTGCAGCAATTTTTGAAAGGCTAATAAAACCTCACATACATGCGGAATAATCCAGCCAGGATTTTATTTTATACACATCTAGTAGCAAGTTGATTCAACTGGATTCCTATTGGGGGAAGACCTCGGTGAGGGGCACATTAGGCGTTGCGAGTCGTGAATTGCTTAGCGGTATCGATATTTTGAAAACGCTTAAGAAGCGTTCCCTGCGCATCGTGTAGGATGAATGACCCTAGCCATTCTTAGCTGATGAAGCTATCACCAATCCGTCATCGACGCGGTTGCAGTGAGACATTTTGCAACGTTTACCCGCGTTGACTCAAAAATGGCGAAGCAGAGCCAAGAACACCGCTGAGATTTTGGTTTCTGGGCTGTCTTAATTAAGAACTTGAGATTTATTATCATACTCCCAATACCGGTGTTTCTTCAACTTGGTCACACAACTCATCAACGTCAACGACCGAGGCAAAGGAACAGACGGGTTAGTCAGGATACCATTTCATGGTTAGTTAAATAGATTGAAATAGCACTAATAAAAAAGAGAGTCATGGATGCCCCTGATTGGCTGATTTGAGTACGGAAGACAGCAAGTTCCAACAGTTATTTGGCCATGGTCATAAGTACTGTCAAGATATAACCAAGGGGAGGAAATCAACGTGAAGACTTTTCTCTTCGGAATACCGCTGTGGGTTTGTCTGTATGGAGAATTGGCCTCTACGACGGGTTTAGGTTGGCCTTGGTAAGTTTCTGACTGTTTACTATAAAGTTGACCAAGAAAACCAGCCCACCGGCTAGGGGTGATAGGTCCACTGACCGCTATCTTCCTAGGCGAGCTTGGGCACAACTGATAGTCGTGGCCAAGTATAGGACCTATGGTTATGATGGCTACGGCGGGGAGAACCACCCCGAGATCTACTGGTCGGAGTAGAACTATCTGAAGGAATAATTCGGTATTGCCTGGGATTGGTGCACAGTTCGATATCCAGGGGCATTGGCTTGGCGCATGATATCCAGCTATATTGGGGTAAACGTCTATATTGCGTAGTGGAAATAGTTGGGCAACTAGGTGCGCATGCCGGGAGCGAGTTCCGTGTTAGTGCTGTATTCTAGCTCGACCACCAGCGATACCGCCGGTGTGTGTCCCGGCTAAACAAGGGCTGCTGGTCTAGATATGGCAGCATCCAATCCGTGCTGTGAAAGCGATGTTTCAGGTATACTTGCTAGGAAGTGGCTATTTCCTCACCATAGATTTCTTGGATCTTGATCACACACCGACCGTACAGTGTACGATGTGGTTTATGAGCCCAGTGCAGGCGGCTGTACTCGTCAGGATGCAACCCCCATAGCCAGGCAAACAGATGATCAACACGCTTGATACCACAACGATTGCCAGTCAGGATAGTAGGAGGCCAGTGGGTACCTTCCAAATCCCGCTTTAGGGACGGCTTGCTAAACGCCACCTGTCCAGACTTTGTAACACTCTGAAACTCAGGGCGTATGCCAGCCTGCAAGACAGCAAGGACATCTTTCCGAAAGGCGCGTAGACAGAAGTCAATTAGGAGCGAGAGCAGCGCAGAAGGGTTAGCATGATCTTACTGGTGCTGAATTATATATACAAAATAATCCTCAAGTAGGAGAAAATCATCCTGGTATTTGCGGACGCGCTCGTAATAGATTCGAAACTGGGCCATGACTGCTGGTGTGTGGAGGTCCATGTGGAGACGATGGGCCGGGCGGAACCCCATTAGTTTCCAAGTGGATCTTGTTAAGGAACCAGCCATAACCGTGGCGTTGAATTGTGGTGCCCAGCCCAATGCCCTCCCGGTACTTAATCCGGCCATTGGATTCCGGAATGGCTTTCACGTCGTGCCTGCAGGCCCGGCTTTGCTCTAACCGGTTCCCGCCTCCGCCAAATGCCCGTCGCAGACAGCGGAGGAACAGGATCATTACCTGGGTGCGATCCCAGGACACCATAAAATGGCGCTGGTGCTGCAGGCTATTTGTTAATTCGAATCCTGCACATAGCCAGTTCATGTTACACCGTAACCATTTGAGGATAGTTGCGGTGGAATGGACATAGAATGGCTGGCTTGATAGATCTTGAAACACTCGGTGAGCCGCACGGCGTCGCTGAAATACCTGTTTAATCTAGATCAGGAGGTCTTTGCGCACCCGATGCTCTTCCCGGGTCCCGAAGGATTTTCCAGTAGATCCATCTATTGCAGTTGCACACCGGGTCTTGCTGTGGATGGACGCGCGGTGTAGGGTATCTCAGTTAAGAATACCTTTCCCGAGGTGCTGCCAAGTTTGATATGACTCATGATCCAGGGCTAGAGCCTCTAATAGTGGATTACTAAAGGGGTACTAATTTCCAGCAGAAAAGATCTCTTTGACCGAGTTGTAGAATTAGCTGTAGAGCAGTCCCGTCTTACGGAGGTGAGACCTAGTCCGTGTCTGTATAGTCAAGGATCCTGTATCTCGGAGAAACGGGAAAGGATAAAATGCTATCTTCCCCGGGTTCTGGACTAGCGGGGAGTGGAGAAGCTTGTCTAGACAGCATTGTTTTCAGAGCAGAGTTTGCGCGCTGATAGGCTAGAGTCGGGCGTAATCGGGTATGTTTCCTTCCCAACATCAAAGAAGGCCTGTAAATATACCTCTGGTTGACAGTGCGGCTCTATAACTCTTGAAACCGATGTTGCATATTAGACTAGATTGCGGACTGTGTACGGAGCTTTAGGTTCTTAGCACTTACGAAAAGACGATCCCCCTGGAATCCATCGGGTCCCTTTACTCGAATGATTTGATAAACAGCCTACTATATATGATTTAGATGCTTAGGGGCAGAAAGCAGCTGAGTAGCTGTTAACGGGACTGTGTCTATATAGATCGGCCCTCCGCCCACGCTGCCTATGAGTTTGAGTTACTATAGTTGAGATTGGAGTTGAAATGCTGTAGCCGGGCATTAAAGTAGTATTGATACACCGCTAGGAGGAAGATATTGTCTATCTAGGTCCGGAACTAATCATCTGGCAGTCGGCTCGACTTCTGTTGGGGCTGATAGAGTCTAGGGAACAGGGCGTAGATCGATGCATCCTCGAATCCCGGAACCCGGGTAAACGTGTAGTGCTTAACGTGCTCCAGTGGTAGTGAGAGGCAGTGTAGGTGACCGTGGCAATCGGTACACTGGACCGGCAGTGGATCTAAGTGAAGATCCGGCTGGAGGTTCGAGATCGGCCGCTAGACAGGATATCAGCCGAGGCCTCAGGAACAGGCAGCCGGACTAGTTATATAGGCTAAGACACTGTCTATCGAAGCGGACGGCTGCTGGCCCTAGCTTCTGTTTCCCCCAGGCCAAGCAGATCGCAGGCACGCTTCTGGATTGTCTCGCATCGGTCCCGCAGAAGGCTTTTTCACGCTGTTCTGGTGGCCAGTTCTTGATCCATTGGTCGCCCGACCTGGCCAGTCTGGCAGTGCTGAGCACGTCCGGGCAGGGCCAGCACAGGACCTCGTTCAGACCATGGCTCGGTGATCCGACAGGGTTCCGCTCGTGGTTGTATCGTGTGTGGCAATCAACAGAGGAGTTGTTCCGCGAGTAGCAAGTGTCGCGGGCGATGATCCGCCAGTCAGTAAGGGATCTAGCAGATGATGATCTAGGTTTGTGTTCACAGGTAGGCCATCTGGCCATCTGGTAATATATAGGTCGAGTCGGCTGGTAGAGATCGAGGGAGAGCGGGGCTTCCAGGGTCAATGACGGCAGTTGGTGTGGGGCTCAGGGGACGCGAGAGCGGCTGAATTTCCCCAGGCAGCGTGGGTTCCTCTCGGGGAACGGCAACAAGCCCAGCAACAGGTTGGGCGGGTACGCAAGCGAGATTGGCACAGTACGGACTGATTTGAGACGCATGGTTGGCAGCGCTCTGGCGGACTGTCGCCATCGCTGATGCCGTGGTTGAATTGTTCGAGCCTCGCGCCTCTGCTCCACGAATGGGTATTTTCGTGGTCGGCCGCGCTTTCGAATATTAGGACCTGTGGCTAGTAATGTCATGGTGAACTTGGCTCCTCAGCCGTCGATCGCACATGGGGATGAGAGGCACAGGGTCCACCCCCGCAAGGCATGATCAACAGGGCGGATGGAAATAGGGGCTGCATTGAATAAGCTCGTAGCACTCGTTGAGGATACAATATTGGATTGGTCAGAAAACAAACCTCTGATCAAATACAGTTACACTAATGACTAAAAGAGGTTTAATTTGGCACTATTCCAAAAGCAGTTTAGCTGTCGCCGAAAATCGATCACTGTCGCCGAAATTATTAACTGCAAAAATTCCCCAAGTTCGATACCTTCTTTTGGCTCACCCAGAGATGCTGGAGCAGTTTCAAGTGTAGCTTTCGACCGGGCGGGTCTTCTTTGGCTTCCGTAACTGAGGTCAATTTCCTGCGACCCGCGGGTGGCTCTAGTTCTAGTGTCCGTTAGAAAAAAAAAGCGCTAGGCAAAGCCCTAACCTGCAGTCTGCCCTGACCGCACCACCCCCCGTGGGATAGGGTCTAGGGTTTATCACGCATAGACCATGACGACATATCAGAAGACAATGTAAGTACTAATCTGCCCTGAGAGCAGCCCACAAATTTCTTCGAATGGACGGAGGAAATACTACCGAAAATTAGAAATCTGGATATAGTAAAGTAAGAACAAGAAAACATACTTGTAACGGTCGAATTCTTTTTCGATTTTCCATTGGGTGCTGGGTTTATCACGCGGGACGGATCGATGTAGCAAGAGATTCCCTGGAATATATTAATAACTGGGTAGTAATGAAGGTCTGCACATACAATGTAGAGTCAGGTTTGAGTCGGTTTTAATCAGGTAATAGTGTGGGATACTGGCTTTGGATTTGACGAACTTCCAGTAAGTTTTAGTCTCACTGTCATTTGTTAGCCTATATAAGGGTTAGAAATCAGCTAAAGCTCTTACGGGTCTTTCACGGTCCGCAGGTGGTGAAGCTTTAAATAAGGGTCGTAGACTGTGGTGAGCCAATAGCTTGGTTCTGCTGTTGATTGGATAGAATAAAATTTGTTTTCGGAGACTGGTTCACGAGTTACTCTATTTTATGCAAGTTAGATTAAATCAAGTGGCATGTAACGGAGGTTCGATTACTTGATTTTGGCCACGGAGGCCTGCAAACTTTTCACATCCGCCTCTAATGTCGATATGCTTTCCCCCTCTTGTCGAAGTTCCTCTACTGTGGGTCGAGGTTTAAGAGTCTATGGCCGTATTAGTATTGTATTTGCCTCCGGGTAGGGATCTCTGGATAGGAACAGACTGGAAGGAGTTAACAGAAAAGCAACGGGCTTAGATATATCCCGACACGATTAGGGTCAGTGGCAAGCTTAGGATCTTATGTAACGGCGTTAACCTGAAGAGTCAGTACCACGGCATCGGTATCTGCATCTATTAATAAGGTAAATACCTCTTTCACGATCCGAATCATCTGTAATCGACAATCGCGCTTAGCTTTTACTAGCCTAACCAGACTGCTATTATATGGGGTATCCGGGATGTGGCTAAATAGGTCCTGTCTATCCTGCGTTTAGTGCGAGATTGACTTGAACTCTTCCTTTATCGATTTAATCTCCGTTGTAGTGTCCTTCGTAGTTATAGAGACGGTTAGGATTGATTTCCCCTGGCTATAGTTAGCGCTCACTACCTAATTAGCTCTGGATATGTTAGATAGAGAGGAGTAGTATACTTATTCTAATTGTCTTCTAGATCACCTTATAATCGAGATAACTTTCTAGTAGAGCGTTTATATAGATACCTATATTCTTATAGTCGAGTGGACTGCCCTTATTTAATAGGAGTTGATATGATTGTAAGGCCGAATATTTGGTAAGGATAGCGTGCGTCCTCTATGGAGTCTTACGGACTTGATCTGGAAAGGTAAAGGCCGCTTTAGCTATATTTTTGATCGTCTATCCTTTTGCGATGGACGTTTTATCCTAGATCTTACCGCCGCTAGACTAGGATACCCTATTAGTGACTATAAGTATATAAATTAATATATAGTAAGAGGAAGTATACGTGATAGACGTCTTTGAGATCTTAGTTTGATTATTCTTATTAAACCCCCCCCCTTAGCTAATCTAGTAACGCCTAAACTAGCCTAGGATAGTTTAACTAATAGCGCTCCCTTAATGTTTATGGCGCTCTCTATATTATTTAGTTTAATAGAGAGAAGAGCGTTAAACTTACTACCCTTGAGGAAGCCGGAGATATAGCTATCCCTATAGACCTTAGTGAAGCGCTGTTGGTTAGTAATGGTAATATTAGGAATAATGTTAAATTTAGTAGTATCGTCGGCGATGAGCTACTAGTTAACTACCTTAACTTAAATAAAGTAGCTGATGTCGCTTTCCTTAACTTTAGAGGAGTTGAGGTAGGCTATTTCTATTAGTATATATAGGTCGTGAAGCGATTATGAAAGAGATATACCTTTGGACGCCTTTACGCCCTCTACTCCCTAGTATTTAATTTCTAGGGCCCCTAGCTTGGTTAGCCCTCTTTAAGCGGAATAGAAGAGAGAATATAATATTACTGATATTTAACGCCTTAGTAAGGTCGCTAGTATAGTCGATAAACTTAGAGGTGAAGGTTATCTACTAGCTAATTATGTTGGAGCTGGGAGTTAATTTTTTCCTGAGATTGTTATTGGTTAGAGGTGTTTTATTTTCCTTAATAACTGTATCGTTAACTTGTAGCTATTGAGTGTAGGAATTGAACCTATAGGATATTAGCTTGACTCTTGTATTGGGGAGTAACCTACCTAGAGCCAAGGCGTATTAAATCATTATATGGGGTAGTTTGGGCACTTATTTTGCTATGAGGATGTGGAGAGAAAAGGTTAAGAAGATGGATAGAGGATAAATCCTATTCTAATAATTACTTTAAGACTAATTCTAAGTGTGATATATTATTCGCTCGTGTAATTATAACCTAGTATTTACCCTTCCCTACTATATATCTCATAACCTAGCACCTATATATCCTTAGGTTAAGATCCCCACGCTAGGGTCGCCTACCCTACCTCCCTTAGATAGAGGTATGAATCCGTTTACTAGATATTCTCTCTATTGATATTCTAACCCTTATATACCCTAATTTAATATTAAATATGAAAAATTCCTAGACCCTCCCTAACCCTAGAGAGGTGGTATTATTATTAGAATTACATTTTTAAAAAAAAAGGTAGGACGCAAAAAAAAAATAGTGTAATACTAGTGAGATTATTACATAGTATAGCGGTTCCCTTAGCCTTATATAAATTTTAACTAAACTAGTTAATAATTAAATTATTTAGACTATTATTATTAGTCGTTGAAATAGTTGAATCATTTTATATAGAATTAATAGGCTAAAAGATAGTGCGTCATTAGGAGCCTTAGTATCTTATATAATAGGGTAGGTGTTACGCGGTGCTAACTGGTCATAGTGAGTATCGTTCATATGGTCTGTTATACGTACGTCGAGGCTCGCCCTTAAGTCTTAATCGCAACCGTACCGTCGCCTATTGGCCTTACACGGGCTCGGGTCTATAGATTAGACTCTTGTTGGTCTGCGCTAGGTAGTGCGCCTAGTTAAGCTATGCTTAGGGTCTATGTTAAGTGACAAGAGACTAAGTATACCTCTCCTAGTAGGGTGGGTTATCTTAAGTACGAAATAAGTGTGAAGCTAGAACTATAGGTTCCAAGTAACAATATATAATTAAACGCGAAGAACTAAATATATCTATGGTAATGACCGTTCCTTATATATCTAATCCGTCGCATCGCTCGATAAGTCTAGGACTTATCACTTAGTCTATTCCGGTCTCATCACCTAATAAGCTATACTTATCGCCCGATGAGTTAGCATATGATCCTTCCCTAGGATCCCTATCTTCCTGGGATACTAAGCTCCTTAGGATCCTCCATATCATAGGATACTCACGGTTTATTAGTAACCGTGGTTCGTCGTAGGGTATTATTGATCCTAGGATACTCTATATCCTAGGGATCTCCCTTTTGGTTCTAAACCATGGCTTATTGTAGGATATCCTTAATCGTAGGGTGGAGCCTATTATAGGATCTTCCTTATTAGTAATAGCTATGGCGTGTCGTAGGATACTCCTTATCCTGCGATCGTGCTTATTATGCGATCGTCCTTTTCCTAGGATAGCACCAAACCATGGTTACCTTTAGTTATCGCGTATCGTGCATCCTATTATGAAGAGGCTATAGTTCTCTAAACTATACCTTATATATAACCTGCACGTCGTCCCGTTTATCTAGGATAATTAGGTATAAGTACCCCGTAGGTGGTGTGGCCCCCTATAGGTCTGTAATATCACCCCCTCCTTTTCTAGGTCTTTATCCCTAAAGACTCCTATATCTTATAACCGCCTACTCCCCTCTCTTAGTAAGTGTTGGTTCCTACTTCTCTCCCTATCCTTCAGTCATAACCCTACCGCTATGCCTTTATCAAAGTCCTCCGTCTAGAAGAATTAACTAAGTGATCGTTTTTCCGTAGAAGGTTTTCAAGCCGTGATTTCGTGCGATCGTTATGTTCGCCTTAAACGAGTGTGTATCTATATTAAAGATTTAGATCGTTATGGTGGTTATGTAAAGGGTAGTAGTGGTGTTAAGTGTACTATATCCTATCCGCTAGTTAGGAAGCTATAGCCACCGCTATACGTTTAGAGCATCAAGAAGCTCTACTTTGGTCCCACGCTGGGGATTTCATTGCTCGTGATTTTAAAGAGATTACTGAGCTAGAAGAGCTCGAGCGTCGCGAGAAGGAAGAATTAGATCGTCTTGAAAAAGAGTGTATTAAGGTCGATTGTTTAAATGACTATGGAAAGAAGGCTACTCCGACCGCTGATGAGCATTCTGGCCTTTCTTTCGTCGAGGACACGTATGTCCTTGCGGCCACGTTAGAGGACTCTAGTTGGACGTAGACGACTGCGTCTAACCCCTTACTTTCGGTGGACTGGTTAAGTGTCGATTTCGACGCTTTCTTAGCTACCGTCCCTTAGGGGTCTTTTTCGCCTCGTTGTAGTACTGTTGAACCAGCTGGTGGCAGCCCCTTAGGTTCTTGATGGGTTCCCATGTATTTTCCAAGGTAGGGTACCCCTGCTATTTGACTAAAAGTTATTGCTAACTATTATGCTATCTGTCCGCTAGGATTTCTTCCACTTTGTATTCTTCTTCGCTAGCGTCTTCGATTTCTATATTGGTAGCGATTTCTGTATTGTCTGGCGCTTTCTCTAATAATGATATATAAAATACTAGGTAAATTCTGTTTATGCTCTGCGGTAGCTTCAGCTTGTAGTTTACTAGTCTAGTTTTCTCTTTAATCGTAAATGGTCCTAGTTATTTATGGTCTAGCTTGTCGCTAGGTCGTTTAGTTTTTATGTTTCGACGGAGGAGGTATACTTTCCCCCCCCCTTTATAGCTCTGGGCCCTCTTGGTGAGTCTTATTGTAGTATTTCTTCATGCGTAGGTTAAAGAACTTAATGTCCCGTGATATTTAGAGGTGTAGCTGTTTGATTCTGGTGGCTAGAATCTGTGATGTTTCTACCACTGCGTGGTCACCGATTAGTTCTCTGATGATCGTGGGGTTATACCTATAATTAGCGAAGAATAGTGATTCTTTCGTTATCGCGTGTATTGCGTTGTTGTACGCGAATTGCGCGATTGGTAATAATTCTAACTAGTTGTCCTGTTGGTAATTAACGTAATGTCGTAGATATTACTCTATTATCTGATTTGTTCGCTCTGTTTGTCCGTTGGTTTATGGATGGTAAGCGGTAGAGAGTTTATGCTTAATACTGATTTAGTCCGCGAATGATCGCTATAGGTTAGAAGTGAATAATTTATCTTGATTAGATGTGATCTTTCTAGGTGATCCGTGATTGGCGAAGACATTCCTTACTAAGATCGTAGCTATTTACTTTGCGTCGATCTTCTCTGTGGTTGGGATTATGTATGCGTATTTGGTTAGCTTGTCCACGATAACTATAATTATGTTATTCCCGTCTGATTCTGGTAGTTTCGTGACGAAGTCTATTGTGATCTATTCCTATGGTTTCTTGGGTACTTCTGAGTTTTATATTCCCCTATATGGTAGGTGTCTCGTTGGTTTATCTTGTAAGTATGTATCGTATTTATTAATATACTTTCGCACCTTTTTGTGTATGTTTGGGATATAGAAGTGGCGGGTAATTAGTTCCACTATCTTTTTAATCCCTAAGTGTCCTTTGGTAGGTTCGTCGTGATGTTTCTGGATGATTTCTTCTTGTATTGGTCTAGGGACGTAGATTAATCCGTGTATTAGTAGTATTCTATTGTCTAGGGTTGCTTGGCGGTTCTCGTGGTTGAGCATCTGTTCTAAAGCTTCATCTTTAGTAGTTGCTTCCTTGATTCTCTGTAGCTAAGTGTCGTCCTGTAGTTCGCTGGTTGCTGTAAGGGTTTGATGATTGTATACTAGGTTTCCCTTGTTATCCTTAGTTAATATAGCTGGTACCGCTTCTTTGACTCTAATCTAGTAATCTGGTCTTCTGCTGAGTGTATCTGCTTAGCCGTTGCTGGCTCTACTATAGTGTTCGATCCTATAATCGAATTATAAGAGTGTTTTAGCCTAGCGCACTTGTCTTCTCGTGAGCTCCTTCGTCGTCGTGAAGTAAGTTAGGTTTTTGTGGTCTAATTTGACTAAAACCTGATGCTTTACTCCCTTAAGGTATGGCCTCTATATTTTAAATGCTAACACTATAGCTAGTAATTCTTTATCGTGGATATCATAGTTGAGTTTTGCTAGTATCATTTTGCGTGACTAAAAGGTAATCGCTCTAGGTGCTTTGACCCTGTTAATAGTTATGATTTGTGTTAATTGTGCTCCGAGCGCAAAGTCAGATACGTCGGCTTCTATTGTGGACGGTAATTCCACGTTAAACGCGTAGAGGATTAGTCTTGCCTGGAAGAGGTTTTTAAGGCCTTGAAATAAGTTTTCCGCGGCCTGGTTCTATTCCTATTTTTTATCCTTCTTGGTTAGGGTATTGAGTCCTGTAGCTATTTCCCTGAAACTGTCTATACTTTTTCGGTAGTAGTTGTATAGTCCTTGGAACTATTGAATGTCTTTCACGTTCTTCGGTTAGGGCCATTCTAGGATGCTCCTGATTTTTTCTTCTTCTATACTAAATTAATCGTTGCTGATGATATACCCTAGAAATCCGGTCTGTCGTATATAAAACTCGCACTTCTTAAGTTTTAAGGTTACCTTAGCTTCCCTTAGCCTTAAGAGTACCTTTTTCACGTGTTCCTGGTGTTCCTCGAT